TATTCTCATTGATTTAATAAATCTATGATTTGTCTAATAAAACAAATCTTGATAAACTAAGCTTGTAGCAGACTTCACATTAAAATACGTATAATATTAGCGATCTGATAAGTAGTTGTGACTTTAAAAATAAAATAATGCACGACGTGAGCATAAAACTGGATTTTATTACCAAACTCTCTTGCAAAACCTGCAAAAATTGGGGAACAGACCAATTTTCTTTGCCAGCTGTGGAAGTTGGAAACTGCATGCAATTCTTTGACTGATTAAAAAAATTCTAAAACATCGTGACAATATCTATTTAATTACTTAAAACTTTGTTTTTTTTGAGGTGGTCCTCGTGAATAATACATATTTGTCTCTCATTAATCAATTTAAATACCAGGCCAAATGGGCATATCCCTACTTTTATTGTTGATGTGTTATTCTTTCCAATTTTTTAAGAATAATGATGACATTCGAATCAATTAGATACCTGATATCTTCGCAGCCAACACAATTATCGAATAACTCCATATATCACCCTTTATTCCATTATATTCCCTTTTAGTTATTTTTTTTCTTTTAAAACAATATAAAATTCATCAAATAACAAAGACATGCTCTCCACTACTTTCCTATAGAAGCAAATTATTAGATGCAATTGCTAAAGTGGGAGAATATTTCATGTGAAACTAGAAAACATGTGTAATTTTCTACAATTGGAAAAAATATTTTCAAGTCCTTCTCCGATCTATTCGTAAAAAATAATCAGGTGTTTCGTGCAAAAATAATATTCTAACTTAAATATTACTGGTATCCTTAATATAACACCCATAGAGAACTTCAACTTTGTAAAATGAAAAAAAATAATAATAATAAAAAATTATATGTGTTCTTTGCCACCTTATATTATATTTGAATCCTGAACTTTGAATGCTCAATTCAAAAGCAAATCATTAATATAGAAAGAACCAATTAATAAGAAACTCTAACTCTAGTTGAACAAGTCTAGTCTTCAATTTGCTAAAATTAAAAATTACCTCAAGGTAGGTAAATTGACAATCACAATTGACAGTTTTAAATTAAACAAGATAAAAGGCACGACGACATAAAAATATATTTTCTTCTTGTAATTCAATGCTCATCGCTATAAATTTTCTTGGAAGTCACAAGAATGGCTCGCACCTCAATTATTCTATCAAATAACTATTATCTTCCACCAGCTAAGTATTAGTTTCTTTACTCGTCAAGCGTTAGACAAATGGGAAAAATCACCTAGCATATTTTTGACTTTTCTCCTTAACAGTTTCCTCAACTTACAGTTAACTATATTAATATAAATTACCTTTTTTCCCTACTCAGTCCAACCTGTAGATATTGTTGTCATTATGAATATATTTTTCTAAAATCTGAACTCTAGAAAAGGGGACCAAAGTATTGCTCTTTCCACAGTATGACTCATCATCCACATAGGAGAAAAATTTCACAACCATTTAATTTGATACTTCATATTCATCATAAGATGTGTAGAATTTAATAATTAAAGAAAAAAGGCTTCATATATACTGAGCAATAAACAGTGCATCAATGTCACATGAAGAGAGAACATGAAAATCTCTAAGTCAGTAGACACCTTCAAATTTGTCTACCTGCCATGTGACCATGAAGTCACGGTTCGAGCCATGGAAATAGCCTCTTGCAGAAATTCAGGGTAAGACTGCATACAATAGACCCTTCTGGTCCGCCTCTTCTCCGGCCCCGCGCATAGCAGGAGCTTATTGCATCCGGCTGCCCTTTTTTTTAGAACAATTCTGGTTATGCAAAGACTAGACAGCTACTTGTTGAAATTCAGATTCCCGAATCTCGATAGATATACAACTTCCATACATAGATGTAAGAAAATTAGTATACAGTTATCATCTAAACAAAGAGGTTAATCAACAATGTCACTACTAAAAAGCTTAAATTTATTGGCATCTAGAACCAACTTCCTTATAGAAGAAAAGGATCCTAGAAGTCCAGCACCAGAGAACACAACCATTATAGAAGTATTTATCCAAAAGGTAACAGATGACTTCTTTGGTTTGAAAGTCATGTTGTAAAGTAGCATTGGGAGAACAAAATCAAGAGGTATAAAACCAATGGCTCCTACAACGCCGTTAATGTCACCAAAGAATGGCAACATAGCTGCAAAGAATCCGCAAAGGGCCATGTACAGCGTTCTGAGGATTATCCTCGGGATTAGGTTTCGAGGAGAGAAGACAGCCTTGTTTGCATCAGCCGACTTCTTTTCCATGATTTCATAAGCAACTTGAGAATATACCTGTGATCATATAAAAAAGAAGTTACCATCACGTAGCCGACAACATGCTGGCAAAACAACATTTATTTTGCTGGGATTTAAACCTATGTAACACTGATCCTTCATTTGCCTTGACATACCCGTGTTGAACAGCAGAGACGGAGCCAGGATCTTTAGATTATGAGTTCTGAATTACAATTCTTTTTGTTTATTGGGTTCTGAATAGATTATTTGTACATACTAGATAGTTTTTTTAACACAAAGTTATTGGGTTCTGCCAAACCCGTAACACTACCACTGTGGCTCCGGCTGTTGAACGGGTGTGAGTACTTCATGTGAATCCTTGAAAATACACTAAATATTAGTAGCAAAAAATTTGAGGTACTCGTATTGGATCCTTGCACACACATGTACCCGATAGAACCAGTAAACCGATCCATGTAACACAGGTTTAAGCCACTATTTGATACAATTGTGACACAGCAAATGCATGACTTACCAAACCAATGGCAAAGAGCTGAAGAAGAATAAAGACGACTGCAAGACCTAATACCCATGTCGGTGCCAAGGAAGGTCCTTCATCTGGCATTAAACTCTTGAGAATGTTTGAATTGGCTTTGTTTCCAAACACCCAGTATCCAGAAACAGCAGCAGAGTAGAAAGTAACCAAAATTACAGAGTAGCACAACATAAGGCCTTTCAACATCTTTCCTGTCGCTGGCGGAGCAAGAGTCGCCTGCACTAATTGGAGTACAAATTAACATGTCTCTAGCGATGACCATTGGACATCATAAAAGGTTTTCATCATTGTCGAACTAAAGGAACTGGGGGGGGGGGGGTAGGGGGATGAGGAAAAAATCAATATGAAATTACCTGTATTTCGGGTAGTATTCCATTCCCAAATATAGCTGCAATAATGGAGATAGAAGTGGAAGCGCTAAATACCCGTGATAGTTGTGAGGCTTCTAAGGAGTAATCTCTCGGAGGTGCATTTTTTGATTTACCTGCATAATGCAGGAAATATTTGGATAAACTGGACGTACACATAGTAAAGTGACATGCTAATATCAATTAATATTGATTCCGCTTTCTCCACTAACTCTTCTGCTTTCGTTCAGGCCAGGTTTGCATATTTGTATATACACTAATGTACTCAACTCTTGTCATTAGGGTGTCCGCTGAATGATATATACAAAAACATTACCATTGCTTTTAAAAAGGATATCAGTTCCACTCACCTATTAAAGGTTCACAAATCACAGCTAACGAAAAAGGAAATAGGGCATAATTTGTTCTCCATCAAAAAGCTGCACGATTTTCTCTTCTAGTAACCAACTTTATGCAGGTTGAAGATAATAGGTAACCTTGTGTGTACAATTTTCCAAATTGTTCAAGAAATATTCCAATGACATGAAAATGAACCTGAACCACAAAGAACATAAGAACTTACCGGCATTAATACACGCGCCAACAACTAGGAAAGTGTAGCCCAAGCTAAGAAACAATGACACCAAGTTGATGTGCCTCAGGGAGTGGAAGGATGGAAATTGAGAGAGAAATATCATTACTACTGTAACCATTGCAATGAAGTGATACAATTTCAGTGGCCCGTGTGGAGAAAGTTCGGAGTACATGATCTTGTACAAGCAAAGAAGAAATAGAAAGTTGTTCAATAACATGAAAAAATATAAACACGGAAATAGTTAATAATAACTTCACGTATGCTGTCTTGCCATATATTTTAGCACCAAGGACATGGAGGCATATGACAAACTGAATGGTGTTACATGAAATGAGATGAAGGTCTATTACCCCAAAGATATTACCAGATTGTAGAAGTAAAATCTTATGTAACAAACTGCAAGACCATTTGGCAGTTTGATTCCGTACATGCATCAGGAAACGACAGGCGATATTAAGATTCATTGTAACACATTTATAATGCACATCAACAAGAAATGTTGTGCATAACCTAGATATTTTGATCCCAACGATAAAACTGATGCCTCATTCGTCATTAGCTAATTCTATTAGGGATATACTATCTTCTTTTCTTTCAGAAGTTTAAGGAGACGAAACACTATCTTTCAATATCTTTTCTGATATTTATTAAGATCACAGTTAACATTTAGAAACTAACGATCTATAAGGATGATCGCATGTACTAGGTCCAAGAAATCAGCTATTACATCTGATATTGTCCATAACAATTATGCAACTATGCTTGTGGATTTTCATGGAATTTCTAAATTCTTGGCATTAATACTGGAAAACGTATATATTAGTCAAGTCTGGAGGAAAAGATAAATGGATGATAACAACGACCCAGTAAAATCCCACTAGTGGGATAAATGGATGATAACTGAAAGGAAAATTTTCTGAATACAAATATATGTAAATCTTGGAATAGCAAAGTTGTTTTTGGCATCAATGAAGAAATGGAAAATGAAAATTGGCTGTTCCTGAAGCAAGTACCTGAATGCATTCTCCGGCAAGCAGAATTGCTCCTATGCTAATGCCAGTGTTGACTGCTGTCTGAATGAGTACCACAAAATAAAACATCCACCCAGAGCCTACAATAATACTCCACAACACAAAATTCTTTAGTTCAAAAAAGAAGCTGTAATAAAGTGCTAAAGTTTGAGCTAGTTAGAGCTGTTACATATAAGTCATCATTCGTATATCTTTCCGTTCAATGACTAATAGATTATACTATGTAATCAATCTATGGGAAAAGTAAATGAAAATATTAGCAGTAAGCATGTCCAAACTCAAAGGAAGTCTAAATAGGATAAGAAGATGTTGAGTAATAGTAAATTAATTAATGTTGTGTTCGTCTAACATTATAGTTTTTTAACTTCTTCATGCAAGGTGCAGAATTTTAAGCCATTTATTCCATCCATTATCTTTTTCGTCCTCCTCCAACAAACACCAATTATCTAAATTCACTATTCTCATTAAGTACAAAAACTATTGCCCGATGCACTAAGCTCCCGCTATGCGTGGGGTCCGGGCAAGGGCCGGACCACAAGGGTCTATTGTGTGCAGCCTTACCCTATATTTCTGCAAGAGGTTGTTTCCACGGCTCGAAGATGGAAGTACAAAAACCACTAACTATAGATTTGTTCTTTTCTACCCAGGTGTGAATCTAACAAAAACCACTAGAGTCTGGTGGCTGTAGTCAAAATAATTAGGCTAAATGTCCTTTTCAAAAAACCACAACAACCTTGCTTCACATTGAAGGTCCTTTAGAAGCATCAAAGGCTACTTCCAACATTAAAGGAAATCTATGCTTTTCAATAGCAGAATCAAATCTTGCTTTCACACATGACAGAATAACTTTTTTTTCCCAGTAAAAGAGCTTTTTTTATTATTTTAAAATGCAAAAGGTTGTAACTTTACATTAAAGACCAACTTATCATCTTTGGATCTCAGTCCAAATAATTAGTAAATACTCTTATCTATAACTCAGTGCAGCAACCCCTTTAGAACAGCATCATATTCCAAACTAAAATGCAACGACGACCACAATAGACTTAAATAATGCTACATCATTTGATTAATTTAATAGTTTAGACTTCTGTTCTTTAAACAACAAACACCAATCACCTTTTCTTCTTTTCTTTTGCAAGTCTAATCGCATTTTCTCAAAATACAAAGGCAAATATCAACTCCATTTGAGCTCGTCGCCTCCAATATTTACTACTCCCATAATTTATGGTTCTCTAATATCAGAAAAGCTCTATGGTTACAACAACAACACCTTAATTCCGAACTAGTCGGATTCACCATATGAATCATCACTGTCCATCTCACTCTAGTTGAGATTGTCCCATTCGAATACTTACTAATCTATCGATCTATAATACAATAAAAACTCCATGAATTTTACTAGAGTTTAAATTCCCTGCACTATCAGTGTAAAATTTTTTACACAATCATGTAACAAATTAGGTAATTGTAAGTGAATCTCTCTGTAAGCATTAATTCGTAATCTAGTAAAAATCGTAACTAACCTACTATTACATACCTAAAACGTCAGCAGCAAGTTCTCTGAATCGGATATGGCGTCGACCGGACTTCTCACAGTGATCAAGAACCAATGACATGAGATAGTAAGAGTAAAAAGTGACCAATCCCATCACAGTTAAACACAAGAAACCCAATCCCCATCCTAGCCCTCTGAATGCATACGGCAATGTTAGTACCGTTGGACCTACTATCGCCGTCGTCAAATGAAATCCTGCATGCCACCATTCCCCTGTTCCCACAAAAAAAGGAGGACTCCATTATAGCATTATCAGTAAAAACTGTTAAATTCTGTTATAAAAGAGATAGCTTTATGTATTTCAAAAGTATAACAAGCCCCATTTGTAGATTTTTCAAACATTTTGTTAATGAAGATCTTACCAACTGTTCATCTATAAACTGTTAAAGATTACATTTTTATTTACTACTACTTAGTAATTTCCTAAGTCTACAACGAAACTTAAATAAGAAAGACCCCATTATAGCAATTAGCAGTAAAAACTGTAGAATCGTGTTAGAAAGGAGATATTTTTATTTATTTATTTATCTTACATTTACAACAAAACCCAGGTGTAGATTCTTTTTCTTTGATCATACAACATGCAGAATTCTGCAGATAGTTCATCTTAAAACTGTTAAAGATTACATTTTTATTAACTCTTAATCTAAAAAAAAGTTAGCTGTACTAAGCTCCGGCTATGAGCGGGGTCCAGAAAATGGCCGGACCACAAGGGTTTATTGTACGTAGCCTTACCATACATTTATGCAAAAGGCTATTTTCACGTATCGAACCCCTAACCTCCTGGTCACATGGAGGCAACTTTACCAGTTACGCCAAGGCTCCCCTTTCTATCTTAGTCTACAAAAAAGGGCAACGGGTGCACTAAGCAACCGCTATGTGCGGGTCTAGGGAAGGGCCGTACCACAAGGGTCTATTGTAGGCAGCCTTACCCTGTTTCCACGGTTCGAACCCTGACCACCTGGATACGTGGTGGCAACTTTATAGGTTATACCAAGGCTCACTCTATCTTAGTCTACAACAACAACAAAAATGAAGACAAATGATTTGTTGAGAAAATTTTACCTTTGGATTCTAAAACAAAAGCAGCACCAGCATCATCTGCACGGCGAATTTCAGGAAAAGGATCATTGCGGAGAGGCTCCGGCGCCATTTTTACGAGATTCTGTTACTACAAGCTCATATCATATGTAATTCTGTCTTTGTATATAGAATTTTTTTTTTTCTCTCGAATTTGTGTATAAAAGAATGATGATGGAAAGAAAGTGGGAATATAGTTGTTGTAAAGAAAGACTCCAAAAAAAGAAAATGGTTATATTTTCGGAGAGGTCGACGGCACAAATCACAATGATGATATGGCAATAGACAGAGACATCTGGTTTTTATAGGTTTTGCCATATTTGAGTCGACATTTGATATATTTAGTAAATCACTACTGGGTACTATTCCAGATTCATCAAATCTAAATGGATATCAAACATCTAGTGATAATCAAAAAATTAAAATTTTATTTTAGTATGTTTATTGGTTCACATTTCAGTCATGGGAAAAATTATAATGGCGGAATTATTTATGTTGGGAATAACAATGAAGAATATCACATAGTGAATAATAATATAAAAATTATCTACATTTAAAAATATTTTAATTTCGAAGTATTTTTTATTTTTTTTGCTAATATAAGTATTCTTATTCTACATTCAATTTCATTAGTTAGTGTAAGTGTTATTTAATTCAGATCATTTTTCCTAATTACTCATTCAAATCTCTCTCCGTTTCAATTTATGTGAATCTATGTGATGACCCAATAGGTCATCTAGAGTTTTAAACCTAGATTCTGTGTTCCGAAGCCTCCAATAGCTTCTTTAGGCCTTCCTCGATTGTGTGGGCAGTCCGGGTGTTTTTCCGGAAGGCTTTTATGTTAAAAATTGATAAAAATGTGGAATTTTGCCTTAAAATCCATTTGAGTTGACTTCGGTCAACGTTTTGAGCAAACGAATCCGGATCTGCATTTTGACGGTCCCGCTGGATCCGTATCGTGATTTGGGACTTGGGCGTATGCCTGAAATCGAATTCGGAGGTCCCTAACTCGAGTTATCGCTTCTTGTCGAAATATTGAAGTAGAAAGGTTTAATGAATTCAAAGATTTGACTAATGTTTGACTTTGTTGATACCGAGTCTATATTTTAGTTCCGCAACTCGGTATAGGTCCATTACAATATTTATGACTTGTTTATCAAATTTGGTGAAAAACGGAGTTAGTTTGACGTGATCGGACGTCCAGTTGTTAAAATAGAAGTTCTAAAGTTTTCTTGAAAATTTTATTTGATTTGGTGTCCCATTCGTAGCTCTAGGCGTTATTTTGGTATTTTGATCGCGCGAACGAGTTTGTATGAGGTTCTTGGACTTGTGTGCATATTTGATTTGGAGTTCCGAGGGCTCGGGTGAGTTTCGGATAGGCTACGGATGATATAAACTTAGAAAAATCTGGATTTTTTGGACTTCTGCTGGTTTCTGGTACTTTCTTCTTCGCGATCGCGGAGGGTGAACTAGGTTGGGGTGGAAACTCCTTCATGGCGAAGGCGATAGCTGGGTTGCGAACGCGGAGCACTGGGCGGCATTACCCTTCGCGAATGCAACCAACTTCTCGCAAACGCATATGCATGGGACCTGGGGGAGGGGAACTAACCAATACTCTTCGCGAACGCGGCACAAGGCTCGCGAACGCGTAGGCTGGTGGGTGTAAGTCTTTGCGAACGCGAAGGGTATCTCGCGAACGCGTAGGCTATTTGAGTCGCTTCTTCGCGAACGCGTCAGACCCTTCGCGAACGCGAAGAAGGCCTGACGCCCAGTGATTTAAATGTTGAAAAAAACGGAATTTCTCCCATTTTTCATTACTCTTCCATTATAGCTCAACCTAGGGGCGATTCTGAAGAGAAAACTCAACATCAATTCATAAGTTTGTACACTTTAACTCATTTTCTTCCATTTATAACATCACCCATTAATTTCTAGCCCTAATCTTTGTTCTTCAATGGTCGAAAACTAGGGATTTAGGAAGAATTTTTTTTTTGCAAATTAGGGATTTAGACCTCAATTTGAGGTCGGATTCCGAAACTAATTATATAATCGGGCTCGGGAGTGAATCGATTAATAAATTTTGGTCCGAACCTCAGATTTTGACCAAGCGGGCCCCGGGGTAATTTTTGACTTTTTGGGGAAAAGTGTGAAAATCCTAAATTTACGCATTGTAATTGATTCCTTTAGCAATATTTGACATTATTGAGTCAATTGTGGTTAGATACAAGTGGTTTGGAGGCGGATTCTAGGGGGAAGGCTCCGGTAGAGCTTTGAGTCGACTTTTGAAGCAAGGTAAGTGTCGTGGTTAACCCTGACTTGAGGGATTAGGATTTGTTTGCCTATTTGCTACTTGTTTAAATGTTGGATACAACACATATGTGAGGTGATGAGTACTTATGCGTTGTAGTTGGGTCAAACATGCAAGTGAGACTTGTTTCTTGTAATTTATTGCTTTCTTTGATCATGATATCCATGCTTAGACTAGTTAACTACTAAATTGATTGTTCTTTCTGCATTTATGGGCTATCTGCGAAAATTGAGTATTGTTTCTGAAGTCGAGGTTGGTATTGTGGAACCATTGTTGACGTAAGGTTTGTTCTTGTTCAATTCATCTCCCTGTTGTTATATATTCACTGTTACATGGTAAGGGAGAGTGTTAAAGCACGAAGGGTGATGCTGTGCCGTATTTGAGAGTTAAAGCACGAAAGGTGATGTCGTGCCGTATTTATTGATTCACGATGAAATTTAGAGTAAAAGCACGAAGGTAATGTCGTGCCGTATTTATCATGTTATGGAGAGACTGAGAATAAAAGCATGAAGGGTGATGCCGTGCCGTTATTATTGTTTCATGGTGAGGCTGAGAGTAAAAGCACGAAAGGTGATGCCATGCAGTTCTATTCATTATGTTTATTCGTTTTGTTGGTTGAAGGTTTATTGACTGTTCTTATTATCATTCCTTGATGTAGTTACCATATGTTGCACCCCATTCGCATGCTCCCTCCCAATAGTACTTGTTAATTCTTTATTTGTTGTTATGTTGCACGTATATCTCCGTCTGTATAGGTTTAATTACGTGGGTGTCCTATCATAGCCTCATCACTACCTTGTCGAGGTTAGACTCAACACTTATGGGGTACATTGGGTCGGTTGTACTCATACTACACTCTGCACTTCTTGTGCAGATTTGGTACTGGTCCCAATTTTACGTGAGGTGCTGATAACTAGGGATTCTAGCCTATTTTATGCTTCTTTTTGTTTAGGTTTTGGATAAAAAATGTGTAAAAGTATTCCCGAAAACTAACTTATTGTGCATTTGTGCTTATTTGCAGTGTTTGGTCGAAATGAAGCAAGAAAGTCATAACCAGCTCATAAAGGAGTTAAACCTGCACAAGTTCAAAGCTAAGCTAAAAGCGCTGACATCGATGAAATAGTGCGGCTGCGGAAGGTCCACCCTGAGGCGACCATAATTACGCTCTCAACGGAATTGAGGTTCAGAGAAGGCAAGTTTGGGCACACCAGACACCGCTGCCCGCGGTGAAATAGCGCGGTAGCGAAATACTTGCCGCGACCGGGTCCAAATAGCACTGAGGGAGAAATTGAGAATCGGATGACTGGAAATTTGAGCTCAAATGAAGAGCGCGGTCCGCGAACATATTACGTGGCCGCGGTTGAAGACAACGTTGAGACGGTTGCTTTTACGCTCCCAGCGAAATCAAGTCCAGACCTAGTCCAAAAGAGAAGAACCGCGGTCCGCGCTTGCTTTTGCGCGGCCGCGAAAGTTCAAGCGCTGAGGCGCCCATTATTACGCTGTCAGCGGAACCTCCGTAGGGGTATTTTTGTCCAGAAGTTTTAGCTGTGTATAAATAGTTCTTTTTCACATTTTTAGGTCAGCTTTTATTTTGAGTAACACGTGAACTGCCGTACTTAGCTATTTTGAGTAATTTTAGAGTAGCTTTAACCATTAATCTTAGATTTTACTCTTGTAATTACTTTTTATGGGTTATATTTCATATCCATCTTTGATTTCTACCTTGATTATGAGTAGCTAAACTCATTAGCTAGGGTTGTGACCCAACCCTAGTGTGGGTATTTAATGGGTCTTCAATTTTAGGGCTTAATTGTTTATGGGTTAATGATATTTAGCTTGATTCATGCTTTAATTGGTTGAATTGGTGGTTGCAAACACTGATTCGTGCCTATATGACTTAGACTCTTATTGAGAAAGAGAGTCTAAGTCTAGGAAATTCAGGCTAACAAGGAATTGGGGTGCACAAGAGATTGATAGCCCCAATTAAAGGGTTAAACCTAGAGATAGTAATACCCGACTTGAGCCAATTTGCTTGCAATGTTTGAACACCCAATTGGGCTTGAGAAAGCCAATTAGGGCAAAGTCACTCGAACTACCGAGAGGTATAGAGTGAGTTTGTGTGCAATGGTTATATCATGATCCCAATTATAACAAGTTTGTCCTAAGTTTTAGACCCCATTAGATACTCGCGTAGATATAAGTAGCTTCCCTAATGCCTTTTATTAATTGAGAAAACCCTTACAAAAAATATTATACTTAGATTACTTTCAGCATTCATTAGTATAAAAGTAGAATAGAAACAAAACAAAACATGGTTAGAAGTGTAATTAAGAACAACACGCATAGCTAGGTTGGATAGAAACCCAACTCCAAATCAATATTAGCTCCTTGTGGATATCGATCCCGACCTTTCGGGTAAAAGCTGAATCGACCACTCTTGCCATTTGATAGTGGTATAGTGTTGGACCCGATCAGGTGCATCAGCTCGGATTAGCATTTGGAGACTCGAGGTAGATCTGCTGGCGTCCGCAGACGTTGAAGTCCCCTTCCATTTCCTCTATTTACTGTTCTTTTCATTCGAGACAGCTGTATTTATTTCAAACCATATTCATACAGACTCTAGAAGCTCGTGTACTTGTGACTCCAGATTCGGGTTGTACTTAGATATTATTGGTTTTTATGTCATTTCGTACTGCATTTTAGTTTCATTTCGGTTTAATTGGTTTTACTTATTTGAATTGATTAACTTGGCTTAAAGATCCTCTAACGTTGGCTTGCCTAGCAAGTAAAATGTTAGGTGCTATCACGGTCCCGAAGGTGGAAATTTCGGGTCGTGACAATCTATTCTATTTTAGTCACAACAGAATGACATATTTCCATATTTGAAAACAAGAAGATTTTTAAACTTGTGATGTAAAATGAGGCAAGTACATTTTGTGCGAATATAAATAATTGCATAAAGGTAAAATTTATTTGTTTAACTTCGTACTTAATCAAAGAAGGTACACATAAATTGAG